CTTTTCTTTCTTTTCGGTTCAATGCCACAATCCCCTTTTAAGGAGTCAAAGACATAGAAGTTCATTATCTTTAACTCTAACACGAAACACATCCAATGATGGTTCACAAGAGTTGGACTAAGGATAAGATTATATACAGCTATATTATATTCTAAATATTCAAGTAAGATCTTCCTCTTGTTCTTTGCTGCCTTCCAAATGAGGGGATTTGATGCCATTTTACATAACAACAACAACACAGTATATAACAAATTTAAAAAAAATAATATCAACTGGACATTTAAATAGAATTTTATTGGAAGCTAACCATAAAGTCAGCATCAAATATATGATGAGGACTAGACCTAAATTCTTGATATTACCCATTAATGCATGGCATAACATAGATATGAACTATAACTACCAAAAAAAATCATATTATATGTACATTATTTATTGTAAATTATGAAAAAAAATTAAAAACTATCTCACTCTGTTACTAATCCACTACATTCCTCCCAAACATTGAAGTTCATTACGAGTTAAATATTGATCATACATTTCAACCAAAATCTTGAAACAGGGAATAACAATTAACTTCTCTTAAACTAATGCAAATCAATAAAAAAAAATAGGGAACAATAGCTACTTACTCGTCACCTTCCTCCTTTTTACACATATATGATATAATTAAAAATAATTTTTTCTTTTCATCAACCTTCTTCTTCACCCTATTGATTAGAATTAGTTGCTTACTCTCAAAATTAGACTAAAGTTAACTCTAATGCAATACAAGGCTAACCCTAGGTCATTTCCCAAGGAATGATTTCAAGTCTAACAAAAGGTTACATAATGCAATAAGTTACCTAAAAAGTTGAAATTTAGTTATCTAATTATCTAAACTAATTACTTAATATGCAAGTAGTTAAAATACTAACTAAAGTGAGTGAAATGAACTTCTCTTTTCACAAGAGTGAAACCCTAGATATTATTTAATTTTAGACTCATTATCTTCTCATAATTAGTCTAAGTTAAGCTTCCCTTTCCTCTTGACTAAAACTATCATGACTTAAAAAAATAATCCTGAGCTAATTAACCTAATTAACTAACTTTTCTAGGTCTTAGATTAAAGCCCTTAGTTCAATTAACAATTGGTGAAGAAATTAGCTAAGTGATTCACTCAAAATCCTCTCTTGATAGTTATGGTCAAATAGTGAAATTAAGCAACTACAAAATTATGTCAAGTTACTTAACAATTCAAATATTAACACCATAAGAATATACAATAATGACACAAATAATTTATTAAATGAAAAATACAATATCATGTACTAAACACTCAATAGCCGAAATCACCATAACTATCCAAGTAAGAAATTAAGTGAAACAATCCTCTCTCTTTACACCAACATTAAATTCAAATTAGAATTTACAAACTAAGATAATTAAATTAAGGACTCTAACCATCTAGTAAAAAGAGAAGATGATAGGAAACAAAAGAACTTAACCAATTTGAAGCTCAAGACTCATCCTTCATCTTCATTTCTCTAGGATTCCACTAAAGAAATTAACTAATTTTCATCATATTCAAGAATCCTAGTAATTGCTCATAAAGGCCAAACTCCATAGCCCTTGAATGATGAAAATAAGCTTCAATCCTTGTGAAAGTGGGAGGGTTGGGATGAGATTGAAGAGAGGAGAAGAATGGTGTGAGTTTTGTAGATGTCTGGTCGATGAAAATGGGAGATATGGTGCTAAAAAATGAAGATCACAAGAGAGAAAATGAAGAATACTATAACAGATGAGAGAAAGTGACGGAGATTAAATGAGATGAGTGTTGGATTTGATTAAGGGATGGAATGGCATGATTCTAGTATTTCCCCTCAGCTGAATACTTAATTAAAAAATAAAAAAAAAATAAAAGGAAATAGGAGTTTTGTCACACTTATAAGGTGACACCCTCCTATTGGTTTATAGATGATTTCAATGTGTGTCTAATTTCTCATATGTCATCCACATTATTAAGGATGATTTAATCCCTCAAATGAATCATAAATCATGCCATTTTGCTTTAGCCTTTGACCTCTAGAAGTGTTAACCTTAATTGCCCAATTGATGCATAAGTCACATGCCACCTATATCACATAAATCACATATAATGTTTAGAATTAAATTCATAATTAAAAGGGAGACTTTATTAAAATAACCAAGTTCTAGGTTGCATAAAATTGTATAAAAATTTTCACACAAAGACAAACCGAAAATTAGGTCAAACTATGATACTTAAGAAAGTGTTGACTTTTTATTTAATTACTCTCAAACTAAAATAAATTTTAAAAATATAATTTGACCACTAATCAAATGGACATAGAATGAATTTTATCAATTTTTCTTGTACATTTTCTTAAAAGTTTATTTTTAAACCAAAATATCCCTATGCATTAAACCTAGACACTTTGGAAATTTTTCAAATCTAATGCAATGAGTACACTTTGAGGTGATAAAATATTAATAAAAGGGTCCTAATTGACAAATAAAAGTGTGTAATAAATGTGTTCTATCACCTATTTACTGGCTTTGACAAAACCTAAGGAGACCTAATAGTTGGTATTTTTCTCCTTATAGATATCCTAATTCGTCACTCACCATCATCTTCCTTAACTTCCTTATCATCTTCATTTTATTGTTCTTCTTCCTTCTCTTCTTAGACAAATAGATGAATTGGAGATGATAAATTATCAATTTGTTCTCCTCTTCCTTTATCACCCTTACCTTCATCATCATCATCATCTACTTCTCCTTTATTACCTCTACCTTCTTCTTTTCCTTCATCTTCGTCTCCTTTATCACCTCCATCTTCTTGTTGTTCATGTTCTTCAAACTCAAAAAATTTGCCTTGTCTTTATGTCATGTCCTTTTTAGTTGTCTTCTTCTTCATGCTCGGATTTTAGCGTGCTGTCTTCACTACCATATCCACCCAATCATCTTCTTCCTCAACTTCAACATTTGACTTGCCTTCCCCTTTTAATTTTTGTGATGCTTCCTTTTCATCTACTCCTTTCTAAATGCAAATTCAACATAGACGAATCTTTGATAATTATCTTCAATAATCCCCTATCACTATTGATAATAACTCATTTAATTCCTACACATTTAGAAAGTATTAATAGGAAAAAAATTATTTTTAATTATATTCTATCCAAAATAGTAAGTAATAAATACGGTCTAGATATAATGTCATCAATCTCTTCCTAGTCATGGTGGAAATGGGCTCTCTAGTAGAAGCACCATAAAGCATCCTAATATTGCTTCTCTCTCTTTTTGTATCTTCCTTGGCTCTCTTATCATTCCAATATTAGACACCATTTTTAAAATCATGATCACTTGTTTTGACTAGTGAGAAATGCTAAAAAAAATCGATCTGTAATATATACATATAGTTATGATATTATACTTAGTATGAATACATTACAATGAAAAAAACTAGCATAAACTCATCTATACATACCACTAGAAAGTACAGGCATCTTTCAATATTTGTAGCACCATCCTTCTTCTTTTTCCTCATTTGTTTCAAATACTCTTCCAATTCATCACACAAGTTATCTAATATATATCTTGACCAATTGAAGTCTTTCAGTGCATTCTTGGTACAATATATGACCTTAACCATCCGCTCACTAAACATTAGCGTTAGCACTTGGACAAAAAAGTGTTCCCAGATACAATACAAATAAAAACTCAAAATTTTTAGCCTCTGCTGCAGATTTAATTAATACCAATATCTTTTTATATGGCATTTTATAATATTTTTTCTTCAACCTCAAAATACTTCCCTTTTCATCCACTTTTATTGACACCCTATTCCTATTATAGGGTAATCTCATCAATATGTGAAACCATCTTTTGCTTTTATTCTTTTGACTTCTCCCTAATGCAAAATTGACAGGTAGGTGGATCATATAATTAATTAAAAACAGAGGTCTCGAGGGATTGTTTTCCATCGATTATCAAGCAA